AGCAAAAAAGTCGCCGTTGATGATCCATGTCCAAGATGAAGCATCTGTTGAGGAAGCTCCAAATTGACGGTGGACTAAACGAGCACCAGAGATTAGGGGAGGCTAGGACGGTGATCAGCTGTCCTAGTCCTTGTCCTAGTCCGAGCTCGGCATCGATGGGAACGACTTCGTCTATGCCTTTTGGTTTTGGTTCGAGTTCAATGGGGAGAATCAGGAGCAACCATGTTTAATTTGGGTTTGAGAAAACCCAGATCTGGTTCAGGTTCAGCCTTAGTTCACTCGTTGTTGAACCGGTTCAGTAAGCCTGAGAAAACCCAGATCTGGAGAGGAAGAAGGGAGAAGAGAGAGACAGAGAAAGAATAAGAAGAAGAAAAAAGAAAGATGATCTGATTTTGATTTTGATTTTAATTTTGCAGAAGTAGTAGGTTTAGGGTTTTGAATTTGAAAAGGAAATGAAAAGAGAAACGAAGAAAACTGTGATTTTTGGGGAACTTGGTTGAAACTGGAAAAAGAGAAAACAAATTTTCATGTGGCCCCACTAAAAGGAGAAACTGTGAAGACGACAATCTGATATGTAAAAAATTGCTACGGTGACAATATTTTTTTTACTGGATATACATGTTATTAAAATTTTAAAAAGCCAGTGATTTTGTGGCATCTTAACGTGCCACCTGTGCAGTTAACTGACGGAAGGACCATTTTGGTACCAAAAATGAAAATTTAAGGATAATTTTGGTACTTTTTAAAGTTGAGGGATAATTTTGATATCAAAGTGAAAAGTTTAGGGACCTAAATGGTACTTTAACCAAGTTTTAAACACAAATTCTAACTAAAATTTTGTGAAACCCATGAGGACCTTTAAAATAGGGAAAAGCCTCTCAAACCCCAAAATTTGAGATATTTTTAATTATTCTTATCTTTTTTTGTCCGTTACAACTCTAAATTTTTGTTTCATTTTGCTCTTTTAATTAACACAACCCATGTTTCAAGAATCATTTCTAGAAACTATAAGGTATACAAGTTAGGCTTTAGAATTTTATGGGATTTGGATGGGTCCTATAAAATTCCATTTAGAATTCCATTTGGAAACTTAAGGAAGTAACTGTCCATGGGATTATGGTTGGTGAGTTTGAAAAGGGTAGGGATATTTTTGGTCTAAATGAAAGGTTAGGATAATATTTAGTATTTATGCTAAAAGTTTGGACTATATTTGATATTTATCCTATTATATTTGACCTATTAAAATTAATTTGGTAATGTTTTCGAACCAATCATAAGATATCATGTGTCTTAATGACAATTCAAGTTATATAGTTGGAAAGTCTTGCTTTTCAAAATGAAAGAATATTTTAGAAATAATTTTATAAAATTAAAATATTTATTGTTTCAACAAATATCATTGAAGCATTCTTGTAACTTGTCAAGTGGAAATAAAATTCTTCACCATAAATTGCTAGAGGTATATTTGAAAATAATATAGGAGTGAAGTTCTAACTCTAAAAGAACTCCTCACCCCATGCGTATATACAGAGGACATCCCTAATGTTTTTCCATATACAATACATGCAAAAATTTGGGAGACAAATTTCAAAATTTAAGCTATCTCAAGATTTCTCATTAACAAGCAATAAACTGAAAATTAAAAAAAGTGAAAATTTAACAAATAAAAAGATTAATTGCAATTGGTATTTTGATTTGTTTTAAGGGTTTTTTTTTCTAATATTCTGATTTGTTTCAAGGTTTTCTCTAAAGGCATAGGTTAAAGGTGCAAAAATTGTGCTTTTTGACCTTTAATTAACATTGAAAAATATAAACTTTTCATTAACATTAAAATATCAATTAACATTAATTTCACCATCAATGTCATATAAATCATTTAATTAGACAATTGATTATATAAATATCAACTTTTATTCTTCAATAACAATTAATATGGGTTGAGCACAAGTTAAGATTATAATAAATATATTTTTTATCATAAATTTGTGTTGGAAAAACATAAACTGATCTTTAATTTATCAATCATTTAATGAAATTTGTCCACTTAACAATGATACTAGAGGTGGTAATTTGCCTCAATCTTTGTGGAGCCCAAGGGGATCCTTGCCATGGGAGCGGAGCGAAGAGGAATATTCCTCATCATGAGGCAGGAAAAGGGGGCATTTTTTCTACAAAATTACACGGGGAATTTTCCCCACCAAGATCCCTATCCTCGCAAAAAAATTAAAAAAAATATATAAATTAATTTGATTTTAAATTTAATTCATCCCATTATAGCAATACATAATATACATTTCAAACTCAAACCCAATCTAATAAAAATTAAACTTAATCCAAGTATGTTGGTTTAGCTATTTATGTTAGATTGATCTTTATTTATGTTTAGAACAAAACTTTTCGTTTAGCTATTTATGTTGAATTGAGCTTTATTTATGTTTGGATAATTTATATTTGATTTTATATTTAGAGAATTTTAGTTAATTGTAATTGAATTTTTAGAGTTTTGTTCATTGTAATTGAATATTGTTAATTATATGTAAAAAATTTATATTTTCATATAAATTGATGGGGAATGGGGATCCCCGTGGGGAACATGGATGGGGAGGGACTCCCATGCCCCATGGGGTTCTATTGTCATCCCTAAACGATACTAAAATTAATGTTAATTAGTTTTAATATTTTTCTATATATATTTTTAGACAAAAAGATACATTTAATCTATATACTCAGGGTAAGTACAATAATTGTACCCTAAAGGAGTTGGAAAAACCCTTCTTTTAATCATAAATCCATTAAATTATCAATGATTTATTGGTTCGAGTAAAAAGGATTTGGTTCCCCTTAAATAAAATTTTCAAATTTAAGTTTTGTAAATAAAAAAATACGTGTAAGAAGAGCTTTCCCCTTATGAGATTTGACGCAACTAAAATCTAGATTAGTTAAGCTCAATATGGCTTCCGAATAAGAGGTTTACTACAACAACAAAAAAAAAAAAAAAATCCATTAAATTGGCATAGTCGTGGCTACTTAATGTGCTCCTGAATTGCAACATATATATGCTATGCTTTTAATTCTTCGGTTTCACCTCCAGATTTGAAGCCATCATCAAGATGGTTTCCGTTCCGTACCACTAATGGTGGCAATTTTTTTATAGCTGGGCGGTTGCATGAGTTAATATTTTGATGGAATGATAAGGTTTGTTAACGATAAAGATTTTTCTCTCATCTTGTATAGGTAAGCAATGGTGTTATGTAGTGCCTACATATAGAATTTATTACTCCCTAGGTAGTGCATACATATAGAA